CATATGTTGTTAAAATAAAATGAACAGTCCAATGATCATTTTACTGATATGTATAAAGACTGCAAAGGCTAAAAAATCTTGAAGTCTGTATGAAATTGGAGGTAGTTTGAGGATTAAATTTTTTATGCTTTTTAATCTCAAAAAAGTGGGGGTCGTATTATACATGAGATCGTATTATACACGAATAAATATGGTAGTATTGCTAAAATTTCTTCAAATTTTACTTTACTTGATTCCCTATGTTCTGATTGAATTTGATGTTTGTGCCATGTTATTTGGGCCTGTAGTTTTAAGAATATTTCTAATACTTATTTCTGAGATTAAAGATGTGGTTCCAAAAGTTTCTGTAATTACAACTTCAATTTCATTGAACTTGAGACTTTGTGTAAAACCATAATAAATCAGAATACATTAATTTGCAAATCATTTTCAACTTATGTTGAATTGAATATAGTACAAAGACAACACTTAGTGTTCAAACTAAAAGACTTAAATCTTTTTTTTTTTTTTTTTTGCAAATATTCACTCATTTTGAATTCAATGCTGCAACATGCTCTAAAAATGCTGGGACAAAAAAAGACTGGGAAAGTTCAGGAATACTGAAGAAACACGTTTGGAGCATTCCACAGGTGAACAGTTTCATTGGAAAAAGGTGAGCGTCATGATTGGGTATACAGGGAGCAGGTTCAGTTGTTCACAATCAAGGATGGTGAGAGGTTCACCAGTTTGAAACAACAAACAAAAAGGCCAACAATAAGAACATTTCTCAACTTACAAGGAATTTAGTAATTTCATCATTTTCAGTCCATAATATCATCAAAAGATTCAATCTGGACAAATGTCTACAAATAAGCAGCAAGACTAAAAACCAACATTGAATTCCTGTGACCTTTGACCCCTCAGGCAGCGCTAGTTTTCTAGTGTCTGTACTTTAACACAACAAATTCCCAGCTAACTAAAATAACCCATGAAACAAATCAGTTTTAACCTGAAACCTAATAGCTTACTCAGATGTATTTTAACATCAGTGTAAACATAATAAAAATGAAATTATATAATCCATATTAAACTGCAGTTAGTCTATTAAACAAACAGCTAATGTACAAAGAACTCAAAATATCTGCCTCTCCCCAGCATGAGGGGCTGTTAACCTGCCCTGCTGAAAGTCCTGAATAAACTAAAAAATAAACTTTGGTCAAAGTGACATTCAAATGAATATGATCCTGATTGAAAACTTGCTATATGTGACAATCCAAAAGATATATAT